CATTTTTATATTCAGTTTTATTCCTACCTATCCTAACCGTTTGTTCACTTTTTATTTTCATTCAGCGATGTGAAGAGGCTATAAGCCCAAAAAAAAAAAACAAATTACACCAAGCAAACTAAGGAGGACATAAAGATCATAATGAATGAGTCACGAGAGCTCCCAGGAGAAAAAAATTTAGTCCTTTTTGTTTTGATCACTCAGGTCAGACGGGGACCGACGCTATTGCCAATGTCTGCACATGCAGACACACAAAAATTGAGAATTTTTTTTTTCTTTTCAAAGGAGTGGGTGATTTAGGAAGATTGTAAAGAAAAAAAGTATACATAGGTTCAACCCAACTCATCCCAACCAACCCATATAATTAAAAGCTTAAAGCTTAAATCCTATCCCATTTGTCTCTTCTTCTTTTTATGAAACATAAATTTATTAGCTCCAAACTTTAATAGACATCAATGATTCCTGAAATTCAATCTTCATCAAGTGGAGGAGAATCGCACGAGATTTTTCACATTTTTGTGTGAAACAAAAGTGGCCAACTTTAGATCAAATAGACATCGACAGAGATGAATTTTTGATCAATTAACCCCTACAATTAATACATTTAAAATTTTCTTTAAAAAAAATCTTCGGGGGCACTGCCTCCAAACCCCCGCCTTAAGTGTGCACATATCAAAAAAAATCTGGACTAACTCAGGTTATACTCACTTAAATGATAATACATGAGAACAATTAACTTGCATGTCATGTGTTATAATTATGTTCCAAAAATGAAAACAATTATGTCTATATGATACATTTAAATAAGCATAGTATATAAGTCCTAAATATACAGGAAGATTAAAAAAAAAAAATTCTATTCCCTATGAAGTATATTAGCATCTTCGTGGACAAACTCCTTATCGAAAGTCCTGTTAGCAAGCACATTTGCACACGTTGTTTCTTTCACGAAAAAGTGTGGATGAAATGAAGAACCGAGAAGCTTGTTGCCACTCCGAGATTCTTCAAAGCAAACAATTTACAAGAAAAGCTATGATGTTATGCCTCCTTGCCTAATAATATAAGAAATGATGATAAAATAGTGTCTGTAATTCAATTCCCCCCGCCGCCGCGGGAAGTTCTCTCTATTTGTAATTGTTTTTTATCTTTCTAAATTTGTTTTTTGGGTTTAGTGTATGTCATTCAAAAGGACACAAGTTGTGTTCTTTAAATGGCTTGCACAAAGTATGATCAGTCATGCTTTGTGTAAATATAATTATTTTTTTTTTCACTTTATACATAGAAATGTGATTGTAGAGAGAAAAAAAAAGTAGCTTTTCATATTTACACAAAGTATGACCGGTCATACTTTATGTAAATCACCTAAAAAGACACAAGCTTGTATCCTTTAAAATGATACTTCTTTTTCCCTTGTTTTTTATATTGAGTATGTTTGATTGTGTTTTGATTTTTTTATTCTTAAAATTAATTTGTGGAATAGTTATGGAAACATGTATTTTTTGTATTTTTTTGTTTTGAAAATTAAAAGACAAAACAAAAAATAAAAACAATTTAGATATGTTCTCTAAATTTGATTCCAAAAACAATAAAAAGTTACAATTTTTAAAACTCTTTTTATACAAAAAATGATTTTTTTTTTATGTTTTAACCAAAAAAATTATTTTTAGAAATACTATTCAAACAAGGGCCTGTAATATTAAAAATGACATTGAATAGCATGATCAGTTAAGAAAGCCAAGAATAAAATTGTGATTTGTTGAAAGCTCATCACTTATAAGGTAAAGTTACGAAGTAAAATGGTTGCTTAATATGTTGGTGACCACAAAGGTTACGAATTCAATCATCTCCACCTTTCACTTTTTAGGAGAATTAAAACAGCATAAGATAGAAAAAAAATGAACTAGTGCAATATCATATAATATAAAATCGTTAAAGACTCATAATTTACAAGCTTAAGTTTTTGAGATGAATTGGTTAATTGATTGAATGATAAACTAAGGTGATGGTAAATATAACCTCCCTATTTTAGATGTTGATATTTCCAAAAATAATTTTTTGCTTTATTTATAAGTCGTGAACAAAAATGCTGTTGGATTAAAGTTAATAATAAGAATGATAAAATAAGGTGGTGGTAAATATAATCTCCACATTTTATATGTCGATAAAATATTCCAAAAATGATTTTTTTGCTTTATTTGTAAGTCGCAAACAAAAATATTGTTTATTTAAATCGATTTATTTTTCTGTTTTAGAAAATTAAATAGTTAGTTTTTGTTCTTGGAAACACAAATTGAGAAAGAATAACAAACAATTTTTATTTTTTTATTTTGTGGCACAAAAAGAGAATTAATAAGCATCTCTTTAGTTCCTAACAAGATATTTTTCGTTTTTATACGCCTTTCCTTTCTTTTCTTTTTTCCTCCGTCTCTTAAAAACATTCCTCATTTTTTTTATCGAGGAACTTTATTACTCTGCGGAGTCGGGCTGAATTTTGAATCAGGAACAAAAAATTATACATGTATTCATTTATTTTTTAATTTTAATTAGTTCATATCATGATATATTTAGAGTAAATACATTTTTTAGTCCTCAACAAATTTCACGATACTTGCTTTAGTCCCTAGCAAATAAAAAGGTCCATCGTGGTCCCTAAAAAATTCAAAATGAATCCATTTAGTTGAAATCGTGGTCCCTCACAAATTTAAAAAAAGACCCATATTAGTCTCTCAAAAGGACTAAAGTGGGTTTTTTAATTTTATATTTTTTACATCAAATATTTCATTTAAAAATATGTATTTTTTTAAAATTATCATTAATCATCCATTTTAGTTTTTTTAAGCATTCATTTTAGTTTTAAAGTGTACACCAATTGTAACAATTAACTTTAATTTTCTCGACATGAAATATTGTTTTATTAGTGTTGCAGTAGTTCAAGTGATAAGCAAGTTTGAGTTTAAAAATTAATATTACATTCAAAGAATGTGAAGAAACCTTATTGAAAAAAAATTAATAGACATTTGACATAATTTTGTTTATTTTTAATGCTAATAGGAATGAGTTTAACCAGAACTGATTAATTAAAATAATTTTATCTAATATCACTTAAAGTTAACTGATTTCTTTCTGGTTACCTTGAGTAATTAAAATTATTTTTTTATAAACATTTCTAAATTTTGATAAAAAAATTATTTATTAAATATTTATTGAGAAATATAAAAACAAAATTTTTATGTAACTTTATATTGTAAAATATCATGTGGGAGGATTCGTTTGATATACACAACCAAAACGAGATGCAACGTCCGGTCAAGGAAAGCATCAAACCGTTGATTATGAATGAAAAAAATACCATGAGGTTACCGTGGCTAACCGTTGGCTTCTATTTTATGCTTTCTTTTTCTTTTGTCTCTCAACAACTGAGTGCACCCCTCTCAAGGGCATGCATTTTCTTGTTCTTTTGTTTCACTTTTTTTTATTCTTTTAGAAAAGGATCAAATGTAAAACAACGGTAAAACTGAGCTGCATTTAGTGGACCACGTAACTGAAAAAGGTAAAAGGATAAAAATTCATGTTGCCACATCGTTTTATTTATAGCACTATAGCCGTATTATCAACAAATCAGAGAGTGCCACTGCCACAGCTGAAGCGCGATGAACAATGAGCATAAAACTCACATGATCCTAACCTGGCTCTCTGATATAGAGTAGTTTCCAAATTCCAACCTAACACAACACAGAAATTCGTCTGTTGTACAACCCTAGCATAATCAACAAATATAGATTATAGACACCGTCGTACAACTGAGTTGAGAACTACCTAATATTCAACCCAAACATTCAGTTACATTGCAATACTTGCACCCTCAATTTCCCCCCATGCAAGATTTAAGCCTACTTCAGGCCTTTATTTTTAAGAAAAACCATTGTAAATCAGAAGAAAAAAAAAAAGGACATCAAAGAATTACAGAGGAAGAATATTAGAAAACATGATGATGCACACAACTATCGAGCATTGAGTTTACTGGATGCCCAGAACAATGACGGCATTTGAAACAACAAATTGTAGGCATTAGAAGCATAACACAAGAAAATCCAAACATTCATAGTATTTTGTTATAAAAATCTGACCAGATAAACTCCTCAGTGCATTACATATTTTTATGTAACATACTCTATTCCAAATAGGAATCCAAGCATTATGATAGAAAAAATTTCACGAGTTTGGGTACTGACTCCTGAGAAAGTCACCAATCAAGTACAGTATACTATCACTCCAATATCAAAGACAGCAAAACACCACGCAGTTGAGAACACCATATTTTAGAATTTAGGTTAGAAATTTTTGCAACCTATCTCCTCCATCCATCTCTTCAATTCATTTCCAAAAAGAAACTTTTCCACTAAAACAAATTGATATGTCTATTAGAAATAAAACACGAGTCAAGTTATTCATGGTCCTCGCAATTGAAGGATAAGTATAGCCTCTAATAACACCCTTGGACTCAAATAAGGTTCCATATCCTTGAATGAACGAACCCATTTTATAAAATCTGAAGAACTTTACATGATTTTTCTAGCCATATCCAGGGAATCCAGGCCAAATTTTGGTTGAACACATGTTTTCAGTTAGCGCATAAGTATATTTATGACATTAAAACACAATATGATCATGGTAAATAGGTATGAACTCTATGTAGGCAAATAGGTATGAAGCAGTAATTCTGAACAGAACTACAAATTAAAGTTATCCCTTACACATAAATATCATTGAGAAACAAAATAACAATCAAGCCCGAAGCTCTATAAGCGGGTCCATCATACTAAATCAGTAGTTCTAACGACATAAATTCTCTAAATTGGTCCATACATTATGTATAAACCAAATGCTATCGGCAAAGATAATCAAAAGCCAAAGCCAATTTAACATAAAATCCTCAACACTAACTGCTGCAAAAGAAAGTCGTGAAGTGCCCCACTTCTTTCACTTGTACAGTACTGTACCTAGCTGAGAATAAACCGACAGTGAAGGAAACCTGCAACCATCATTCTTTGTTAATGAAGGATTTGAAAAAAATAAAATAAAAATAAAAAAATTAGTTCCAAGTGACACGGCATGCTTACTTGGATCAGTATTTATTAACATGGCAGTCCCTCCAAAGCTGCATGTTCCACCATTTCTCTTATGCTTCTGCCAGTAACTGTTGAAGGCATAAGAAGCATGAGCAATCACGGTGTCAGGATCGTAACAGTTTCCCTGCGGCGTAATGTCCATACAATCAGCACCACCCTCTCCACAAGCATAGTCCAAAGCCTGTTGCAGTGTTTCTTCTGGAACAGTAGGCTTTGCCACACACCACAGTTTCTGGACCGGGATTATTTGTGGATAAGGTGAGCCATTGTAAATTGGATTACAAGGTGGCAGAGTGAAACCATGAGGCGAACTAGCTGGAACAACGAATGGTGGTTCTTCAGGGGCAAAAGTGGGAGAAGACATTGGAGGGGGAGAAGAAACTACTTGAGCTAAAGGAGGCAAAGGTTTTTTGGCTACATTTGCAGGAGCAGGGTAACCAACAGAGAAATCCAATGGGGGCTCAGCGATTTCTGGCATTGGAGTTGGCCTTACTGGGAATGGCCCTATTAGGCTGGAATCTACAACTGAAAGCTTTCTAGTTATGGTTTTTCTCCCTTTTGGAACAATGGCTACAACATTTATGTTGTTGAGATGGAAAAATCCAAACTTTTTCATGGAATCCAAGTGAGAAGACACCAAGCTCAAACTTTTATCCGAAAAATGTGAGAACCCTGAATGTGGTGGGATTATAGAGTATGTGGAGTTTACACTTTGGAGAAACTCTATCATAGGTTTTACCATTTTCAAATCATCATTATAAGAAGCTGAGCTTAGACTCAAACAGTCCAAATGAAAAGAAACAGAGACTTTGATGTCTTTCTCCAAACCCCACCTCCTCAGGGAGTGATGGACATTCTTCAAAGATGAGAGAACCATAAGGAGATTCTGTTGTTGGTCTTTTTGGCAGAAAGCAGCACTTCCCACAACAATGGTAGTGATTTTTGCCGCAGGGTAATGTTCAAGAACGTTTGACCTGAGCCACCTTTCAGCAAATAAAATGCTGCTAGAGACCCCATTGAGATCTATAGCACTCACTGAAACAGCTAAGGGAAGATCACCGTGTGATGAGGCTTCAAAAATGTCATGGGTTGTCTCACAGAGGTGTAGGAGCTCAATGGATTCTTGACCAGCAACTGCAATGCAAACCAGAAAACAAAGGCTGCCATAAGCTAACAAAATAAAAAATGAAAAAAGGCCACATTGCACAGCAAACACCAAAGTTGAGAACTTTACGAGAAGAGAAGCGCACTCTAGTTGTTTTTCTTACCAGTAAGACCCAACGAACAAAGAAATATAAGTTGAAATAGACACGCCATCTTCAACATATCTGAGGAACAAAACCACACTTTATAGCCAGTAACAAGCACTCCCAAGTCCTAACTCCTAACACTCTTATCTTGCTTGGTTGATCTGGACTCACAGCCTTTCTTATATGGGGGACCTTTGCCGAATATTGCAGGGGAAGGCATATAAAGTGTTTCAATATTTTTCTGCCGTTTCATGAATTTCCCTACGGTGCTTACATCTACCTCTAAAGGTTGTACCTTTTTGGCAAAAAAAATAAACACTTCTTTCGTTAAAAAAAAATTGGACACTAGAGTACCATTTAGGGCATATAAAGTGTTTCAATAAATTGGACACAAAATAAATTGGATTCGTGTTTTTATTTTTTTGTCTATTTTCTGTCTCTTTTTATTTATTTTTTTCTCTCACTTAAAATGACTTAATTTTGACACAATTTTTTCCTTAAAATGAAAAATAAAAAATGGTGCATAACACAACTGCATATGAAAAAAAAAAGTTTTTTGTTAGGTAAAATTGATTTTAAAATAAGAAAATAATGTGCATATATAAGAAATAAATATAATTTTTTTACATAATCTTTATATAAAAATCTAACTTGGGACAATTTATTCTCGACCCTTTCCCAATGTATAAGTATTGCATACTCTAACAATATTTTTATCATTAATTTCAAGTAAACTCATATATGATTTAATATTTATAAAGTGAATGTAGATAAGTTATTTATATTTGTTGCTAAAACGACATTGTTTTAGGTTAAAAAATTAAAGGATTATAATGAAAAAGACTATTATAACTCTGATATAAATTATAATTACAAAAATATCGTGATTTTCATCTCAAAACGATGTCGTTTTGGGCTCAATGTAAATAAATTATTTACATTAATTGTACAAAAAGCGAAACATAAATATAATACCCATTAACTTAAATCTAAAAGTCTTCCTAAAATATTATATCAATTGCATCTCCAGAATCAGACTAAAATTTCTCCTTTCAGAGAAAGAATCAGATATTACTGTACTGGCTGAAAAACAAAATGGCTGTCTTGGATGCTACTTCGTGCCACGTGGAAAAAACAGAGGAGGTGTGAGACAGAGTAAGTGTGACTCATCAGTTAAAAGAAAGGCCAACCCTCCGGGCTCAAGCACAGAAAAAGAATCAAAACGTTAAAAATGAGCCCACAAAATACAGTGCAAAGGCCCGATTCCCGGTGTCGCGTTGGTGGATAGTATAACGACAATTGTAGAATTGGCGTTTCCTGCCCCGTACGGTACTACATCTGCATGCTACCGGACCAGCCCAGACGACATCACTGCTTTTTAATCGGTGTCGTCTCATTAAAATTTAACGCCTTTTTGAAATATATGAATTTAAATCTCCGCCAACTCTAGTAAATCTAACCTTAAATATGAAATTATTTAATCTCTATTTTTAAAATATTAAAATGAAGTTATTTTAAAGTAATTATGCCCTTTTTTTAATTTTAAACATTTTAATTTATACTTTTTAAATTCTACTTAATTTAATTACGATATGTTTTATTTAAAATTTTAAATATTTTTATTTTAATTAATTTTTTTATATAATTTAAAAAAGCCTACAATGTATGTAATGCTTGCTAATTACCCTAAAATGTATGCGAGCAGAACAATTTGAAACCTAAAAGAGATCAAAGGAATAAGCACAAACTGTCGTTATCTAGCATATTTCTCCTTTATCCGCAATTTTATTTTATTTTCTTAAGTTTAATGTTATAATTGTAAAAACTAAAATGTAAAGAACATTATTACCGTTTTATGGTATCTAATTACGAAGGATGTCATTAATTTTTTGCGGAACAAAGTCATAGTTTGGTCATGAAATTGGGGCAAAGGAGTCTGATACCTGAGAAGTAACTGGAAAAACAATTAGTACGTGATTCTTAAAAATTCTCATTTTATATGTAATTATTATAAAGATTTAACAGAATTTCGTTAAACTCAATCTTTAGATATTAGTATAGAAAAATAAAATTAAAAAAAATAATATATGCGTGTATTTTCCTTTTCAAAGCCTTATCATATTAACAAAATAAAATAAAACTACTTCATGGCTAAAAGAGATTGATTAACGTTTAAAGAATATGGGGGTATATATAATAAAAAAACAAAAAACTAAGAAAAATGTTCTCCAAGGCGTGGGCAGTATTCCTAACTGAGAAAATCTCATGTGTATTATTCGAGTTGTAGAAACTTTTTAAATATAGCACTCAACTCAAAATAAAACACCAAGGATATCAATTGAAATAAACTTTTAATATAATCAAAAACATTTTAGTCAAATTAAGTATCGTCTCAGCATGCATGCATGATTGCTAGTCTTGGCCTGTATAGGTGGGAGTGTGGGACACCTTATTTGTCTTTTGTGCTCGGCGCGGTTTGAAGATTCAGAGGAATGGAGAAAGTAAAAGAAAAAGATTGGTCTTGGCTTTCTGTTGTGTCCTACGAGTGATTCTGGTCAAGATGTATCTATCAGCTTCGGTTCAAAACACCAGTTTCCACTTTCCAGCTGGATCCCTTGCTTCAATATGTGACTATAGGTCCACAGAGCACAGACTATATATATATATCCTAAACTTTTCTAGTTTTTTTCCCCTCCTTGGGGATCCTAAGGAAGCTAGGGTCTCCCTAAAGTCTAAAATCGGAAATTAGGAATTTGCCTTACACAAAATAAATAGATTAAACCAAGTAAATGGTAAATGATACTTAAAATATAAATACATTTTATTCAAATAAATATGTATTTCGCGTATTTATTTGGGTATACTTTATTCGTTGGTTGTATTTATATTAAAGCTTATTAAAGCAATTTTTTTTTTTTTTGAATACTAGTTACATGATCTAAAATGGTTTTTCTGAATTTTTAGTTTATAAAATGGAATTCGGTCTTATATTCTTATATTATTATTAAAAATTTATCGATCAATTTTGGTCATGATGGAAACAATTAGACATCATATATTATAGTTTCGTGTAATAATTTAAAATGATTATCTAAATTAAAAGAATATTATGAATAAATGTAAAACTATGGAAGAGAAGACCGCCAAAATAAAATCAACAATTTATTTGCCATTTAAAAAGAAAAAAAGTGAATCATTCATTCCTACCAAAAGGAAAGAGAGAAGCTGAAGTCACTTTTTACAGGGAATCACTGAAGCGAGAATCTTTCCTCTATCTATATTCTTAATTCAGTATGAAGAAAAGGATGGGGTAAAGGAATCACATTTGCTTGATTGTGGATGCAATCAGGTTTAATCAAAATCATTAACGTGTAATCAGACGACATTGGCAATCTGGCACTGTCCATTCCAGAATCAAAGCTGATGGGGTTTCCTTGAGCTATTTTATAGTTCTTGCTAAAGGGCTCTAGCCCATCCTGTACATTAAAAAATAAAAAAAGGCTTTCAATTACCAACAGTAATGAATAAACAATTAACAAAATGTGGAAAACCATGTGCCTTTAATTACATATTGTGTGCTAAAGTTTATGAATGGTTTCTTTGATATAGCCAAAAGGATGTAGATAAATTTTTTGTCTAAAATGCAAATAGCCAAAATAGAGCTATTGATTTTTTAAGACAAAAAAAATGATTGATCATTGAATCTAACAAATCGGCAGGAGTCAAGTTCATGAGAAGATTTTAGATGGACTTATTTAAAATTTCAAACAATTAATAATGTGTCACATAACATTGGCATGCGTAAGTTTGACATAAATTTCTTGCTCAAAAATAGTTTGACCATTCGGTTATGTACTACTGGTTCACCGAAACGCAGTTGATTTTTTTGCAACTCTTAACAGTGGGTTCTTATGTGTAATTTTAATCACATCCATCATTTTCAAATCTCTTTTTTAATAATTGAAAATACAACCTAATCATATATAGAATTATCCCTTCCTTGGATTAGAAGTATTGCTCAATTATAAAAGTCACTTGAGTTCTTTTTGGTTACTTGTACAAAACAATTAAAAAAAGAAAAATAGACGGGAGGAAGACTCATTAGTCGGTAGTGATACCGGTTACTCTCCCAAATCTGCCTGCACATGTTAGGCTAATCCAGAAAACTGGAGAGATGATACCCAGTTTCAATAAGTAAAACATTTTCGGTGTTCCGAAATACTATGATTTAATATATCACTTTATCTAAAGTTTGAATAAAAAAAATTAGTATACTTAGCATTTATTTTACCCATTCATTTATAGTTAATGCCAATCTTATTTTCAGGATACCCAAAAAAAAAAGAGTCAATCTTATTCTTAATATTATTTTTTAATAAAAAAAATACTTACTCTACGGAAGTAGTATGGTTTGAAGAGCTTTACTCTATTTACCGAAAATAAAAAAGAGCTTTACTCTAGTCGTTTCTTTTTAAGAATCACTTGTTGTCTATCAAAAAAAAAGAAAAAAGAATCACTTGTCTCGAGTTTAGTTCTCTATTTATTTACGTAGTTTGACTGTAGTTTTTTATAATAGTAAAAAACAAAAACAAAAATTCTCGACTTAAAGGTGTTAAAATGAATTGAAGTCTAAAGGCCAATTCACAAAGGTCAATATTTGGTTTAACTCATTAGAATTTTTTCGTGCTAGAGTTTTTTTTAACTCTAACTCTCAAAGCTCTACAAAGTGAGTGGGGTTAAGATAGCTCGAGAGTCAATTTTATGAAACCCCACCCGATCTGAAACTCGACGAGTCAAGTATTGGACCCAGTCAAAAATCGGTGACTCGGTCAGATCATGCATTTTTGTAAAAAAAGAATTAAAATTGTCTCGTGTTGTTAGAAAAAAAAGATGTAGAACTCATTTTAATTTTTTTTTGTAATTTTATTTACTAATAGTATACTTTTTATAATGGCCTCAAATTTCATATTCCAATACTGAAGTAATTTACGGAACAATAAATTAAGAGAACATGACATATGTTATTTCAATGTAGATGAACTTGAAAAATATACGTTCACAACATCAGGCCTTTTG